AGGATCAAAGGTGGGCATCTTGTAGTTGAGGTTTGCTTAGGGTCATTCTAGGATGTAAGTTTACCTTTTATTTTTTTTTTATGAAGGAGGTTGATTGTAAATAATTGCTCATGAAGTTGGATGTATTGATGGATTCGTGAATAGTATGTATTATTTTTGGAGAGGAAATGCTTGGGAACTATCTTGTAGCATGATAATACTTTTTGTCTTTGAATAGATCATCTCATACATGTTAGGCAATTCAAAGGTCTTATGCACTTTTGGTGATGTGGTGATGCGATGTAAGGATTATACAGGAATTGTGGTGTAAAGATGCTATAGCGTTTGAGGTGCACCCTCTTGGCGGGGTTTTGCCTTGCCAAGATTGGGTCGTTACACAAGACATGTAAGTAAATAAGTCTAATTAATAGGACTAGCTTTTAGCTGCCCCTAAAATAAACCACAATTCTCCCAACTATAAGGTCCATTTGGCAATTTTATTTATTTGTTTTTGTTTTTTAGTCTAGTAGAAGAATTTCATTTATCATGAAAGCCGTTTAGAAATAGCTTAGTTAAAAAAATCACCAAAAAAATTAATAATTTCAAAAATTATAAACAAAAGGTCAAATATTCTTTTTTTATTTATTTATTTTTGTTTGGTACACATTTTTTTCAAAATTTTTAATTTTTTTTTTACATTTCATATTTTAATTAAAAAATTAAAAAAAATACTCAAAAAGTCAATTGTGAAACAAACCAACTTAAAAACAAACACATGCACATACCAAACCAACTTATAAACAAACACATACACATCTATTGGTTGCAATTTGTCTTCATTCTTGTAGTGTACTCATTGAGGGTGCAACTTAGGCGGGTTCAATCTGAGCAACCTGAACTCATTCTAAATTTTTTTAAGGCTTGGACAAGATATTTTCAAATTCGGTATGGGCTTGGGTAAAAATTCAGAAGCCCAAATTAAATTTGGACGGGCTTGGGCAAAAATGTCAAACAAACTGAGCAACCCAAAATCCGAATTATACATATATAGATATATAAAAATATTAAATATTAGTCTTATAAACAAACACATACACATCTATTGGTTGCAATTTGTCTTCATTCTTGCTCTGTACTCATTAGGGGTGCAACTTAAGCGGGTTTAACTTGAGCAATTTAAACTCATTCTAAATTTTTTTAGGGCTGGGATAAGATATTTTCAAATTCGGTACGGGCTTGGGCAAAAATTCAGAAGCCCAAATTAAATTTGGACGGGTTTGGGCAAAGACGTCAAACAAACTGAGTAACCCAAAACCCGAATTATACATATATAGATATATAAAAATATTAAATATTAGTCATTACATGATCTTAAAGTAATTTAGATTATTAAATCATATTGAATATATATTACATATACAAATAACATAAAATCTTATTTTTTTATTTTCACTTATAAATTGTAAAAACTACTATAGTGGCATCTCTCCTACATTATATAAATTATTTGTTTTGATGATATTAATGATTTTTTATAAAATAAAATTAAAAAATTTAAATAGAGTCAAATTTTAATAATTTAATAATGCAGCTGCAAATAAAATTTAAAAAAAAAAACTGAAATTCATTTACAATTTGGGCAATTCGGACAACTCGGACAATTCGGGTTTAACTCGAATCGGGCTTGGACAGGCAATCTCTGGTTATAATTCGGGCCTGGGCAGGCCTGGGCAAGTCCCGGCACAACTTAGGCTGGGCTTGGACAACATTCCAACCCGACCGAACCCACTCAAGTTGCCCCCCTAGTACTCATTCATGAAACCACAATGACCCAAAAAACACATGCTCATAATATGTTACGACACGGAAAATTCTTATATATTTATTTAACCCAGGCCGACTCGTGGCCTTCGCACGGTTTTGGCCTCTGATGGCCTATTTTTCAAGCTTAAGTGTGAAAAAGTACATTTTTGGACTTAGTTTTCAAACAGAGAGTGCCGTGCTAGTTCCGTAAGTTTCCACAACTTAGATTGGTCTCTCCCGAGGTGTTTGAGGTGTTACCCGGGCCATCTCGTTGCCGTTGCACCGTTTTGGCCTCCGATGGCCTATTTTCAAGCTTAAGTGTGAAAAAGTACATTTTTGGACGTAGTTTTCAAACCGGGAGTCTCGTGCTAGTTTCGTAAGTTTCCAAAACTCACATTAGTCCCTCCCGACATGTTTGAGGTGTTACCCTGGCCGTCTCGTGGCTATTACACGATTTTTGCCCCCGAAGGCCTATTTTTCAAGCTTAAGTGTGAAAAAGTGCAATTTTAGACTTAGTTTTCAAACCGGGAGTCCCGTGCATGTTTCGTAAGTTTTCACAACTCTTATTGGTCCCTCGCGATGTGTTTGAGATGTTACCCAGGCCATCTTGTGGCTGTTACACGATTTTGGCTCCTGAAGGCCTATTTTTCAAGCTTAAGTGTGAAAAAGTGCATTTTTGAACTTAGTTTTCAAACCAGGAGTCCCGTGCTAGTTCTGTAAGTTCCCACAACTCACATTGGTCCCTTCCAACGTGTTTGAGTTGTTACCCGAGCCGTCTCATGGCTGTTACATGATTTTGGCCTCCGAATACCTATTTTTCAAGCTTAAGTATGAAAAAGTGCATTTTTGGTCGTAGTTTTCAAACCGGGAGTCTCGTGCTAGTTCCGTAAATTTCCATAACTCACATTGGTCCCTCCCGAGATGTTTGAGGTGTTACCCAGGCTGTCTCATGGCTGTTGCACGGTTTTGGCCTCCGATGGCCTATTTTTCAAACTTAAGTGTGAAAAAGTGCATTTTTTGACTTAGTTTTCAAACCGGGAGTCCTGTGCTAGTTCTGTAAGTTTTCACAACTCACATTGATCTCTCCTGAGGTGTTTGAGGTGTTTCCCGAGCTGTCTCATGGTTGTTGCGCGATTTTGGCCTCCGATGGCCTATTTTCAAGCTTAAGTGTGAAAAAGTACATTTTTGGACGTAGTTTTCAAACCAGGAGTCCCGTGCTAGTTCTGTAAGTTTCCAAAACTCACATTGGTCTCTCCCAACATGTTTAAGGTGTTACCTAGGCCATCTCGTGGATGTTACACGATTTTGGCCCCCAAAGGCCTATTTTTAAAGTTTAAGTGTGAAAAAAATGCATTTTTGGACTTACTTTTCAAACCGAGAGTCCCATGCTAGTTCCGTAAGTTTCCAAAACTCACATTGGTCCCTTCTGAGATTTTTGAGGTGTTACCCCGGCCGTCTCATGGCCGTTGCATGGTTTTGGCCTCCGATGGCCTATTTTTCAAGATTAAGTGTGAAAAGTATAATTTTAGACTTAGTTTTCAAACCGGGAGTCCTGTGCAAGTTCCGTAAGTTTCCACAACTCACATTGGTCCCTCCTGATGTATTTGAGGTGTTCCCTAGGCCGTCTCGTGGTTGTTGCACGATTTTGGCCTCCGATGGACTATTTTTCAAGCTTAAGTGTGAAAAAGTGCATTTTTCGACTTAGTTTTTAAACCGGGAGTCCCGTGCTAATTTCGTAAGTTTTCACAACTCACATTAGTCCCTCCCGAGGTGTTGGAGGTGTTACCCGGGCCGTCTCATAGCCGTTGCACGGTTTTGGCCTCCAATGGCCTAGTTTCAAGCTTAAGCGTTAGAAAAGTTTATTTTTGAACTTAGTTTCATGCCTAAATGTTGGAATAGTGCAAATTTTAAAGTAGTTTCCTAATTGGGTGCCACTTGCATATTTCAGTGTTTGTGATATTTCTCGAGCTTATACATGCATATTTGACTATCTTAGTTGAAGTAGAAATTTCTACTAAATTAACATAGAAACATAATATACTAACCAAGAAGCTTGTCCATCAGAATCTGAACTTTCCCCACCCTCAAAATTTCCCGTGATACATTTCTGCCTCAAACACTCTATGATACTTTGTATCTTCTTGCTTTGTTTCTTCTCTGACTTTTCAAACCTAGCAATTTGTTTATTTGGTTGTGCTATTTGTAGCTCGAGGCATTGAACATAGTCAGTATTTTCAGCTGGTGCAACAGTTGTGTTCACAGAAGAAGATGGCCTCATGCCGAGTCCTTTCACATAACCTGGCCTTGACTTAAGCACCTTGACTGACAACTCCTCTGGAGTCAAGGGGATTGCACTAGTCTGCGAGAGGTGTTCTGCTTGCGTTTGTATCATGTTGTCCTATTAATTTGAAATAAATCAAATATTAGTTATTCTACCCTACACAGCAAAATAAATAATATTATCAAAATTGAAAGGCATTGCCTTGTACATATATAATTAACTTGGCTCTCCGAGGAAATCCATTCATGCGTGTCCGAATTGTAGTGGATGGACTTGTAAAATTCTGCTAAATCGGGAACTTTGCCATTTTCAATTATCTGCTTTATTTGTTTTTCAATGTTATTTCAATTATTTAAATAACAAAGCCTACTAATCCAATAAAATAAATTGGTAGAACGCACCGAGCTGTGTACCCTGATCGGGATTGATTTTGATCCACATCGATGTTTTGTTTTCATTTGCATCCTATTATTCGCATTAGCTAGTGATTGTTCCTACACAATTGAAACACCAATACAAACAAAAAAAGATAACATTAGTAAAAATAAACTTACTTTTTGACAATTAACATATATAAAACATTTTACCTTGAATTTTTGACTATTCCACTTGTTAATTAGAGATGTCCACTGATTGAGAGTAACTCTTGCAGGTGGGTGGCTTTTCGCGTAATCCTCCCCTCTTGCATCCTTATGTTGCTTGTATTGTTTGTGCAACTTATAGGTCAAACCACTCAATCGTCGACCAAACTGTATGTCTAAAGCCTTTGCTACATCAGCCCGATTGCCTTGTAGATCAAACTAATCCTGCAAAATAAAAAAAAAAATAAAAATTAAAAAGTATGATCGGCTACTTATCAGCAGCATTCACATTCTTCCACCTACGAACGCTCTGGTTTGGTAACTGCGTTCGAACCTCTATACCAATCTTGGAGACAAGCTTAGAGGTGTTGTCTCCTACTGGTGCACGAAACTGTTCAGGTGTAGGAACTAACATCTTCCCATCCTTCTCGACAATGCGATGGGCCTCTATACTGCGTGTTGGGCCACGACCATGTCTATTATCTGATGCTGTAAGGGCATAATATTAATTGAGTTAGTAATTAAACAAATGCAAGTTAAACAATAATTACAACTTTGCAAACTTACCAACGATGCTAGATGCAGTCACCTCATCCTTAGGTTGCACATTATGAGATGGTAAGGGTTGGGTACCGACCTCCTGACTTAGGGGATCCATCATTTCCTCTGGGGTGGGAGTTAATAGCCTTGAATGAGATCGTAAACGGAGTCTTGGTGCCATCTCTTGTTCTTGAAAGAACATAATCAAACAGTAAAAACGATATTTAAAACAGTTAAAATATATTTTTTAAAAAATATGATGTGTAAGATATGTGAAGAAGAAATGTAAATAGTAAAAGACATGTTCACACACATATATAATAATGTGCATAATACCTCGCGGTCAAAGGAACCCAATGACTCATCATCATTGTCATCCTCACTCTCTGAAGGGTTATACTCAATATCATCATCTACCTCAACCCTAATTCCCTTTTCCCTTGCATTTGCATATTTGGGTTGAACCGCACTCACTAAAGAATTTGTAATATTCTTCACTCCAAGATTGTTCATTACCTCACAGTTCTCCTTGATTCGCTTATTTCTTTGTTTCTCATATTCTATTAGCTTCTTAGTTCTCAAATCACCTGATTTCTGCCATTGTTTTTTGCCTCGGACCATTTTCTACAACTATATAACATAATTCAACTTTAATTGAAAAATATAGACAATGTCATCATGCACCATTAAATAAAAGAAGAAACAAAAAGTAACATAAACATATAAAATAAAAATTACATTAATTAATAACATCTGTTCGAAAATAAAGTAATATACTAAAAATTACATATCTTAATCCATATCAGGATCCATATCAACATCAGGAATGTTATGTTCTTCATCTCCTTCATCATCTCTATTCTCTTCCATTATCTCATCTAATGACCCTACTTCTGAAATAACATTGAATTCAACATCATCTGTACAGTATTGAACAATTGGGTCAATGTCAATTGGAACAACGTCAGTAATGTTTTCTTGTTGGAACACATCATTATTTTCTGAAGGATCCAATAATTCTCCATCACTAGTGTCTGGAACATCAAAGACACCCCTATGTTGCACCCTTTGCACGACATTCCAAGGTTCACCTAATTTGGTATCATTCAGATAGAAGACTTGCTTAGCTTGACTAGGTAGGATAAATGGGTCAGATTGATACCACCGACTTGTGACGTCAATGCTTGTGCAATATGTATCAAATCGTATTATTCTGTTTCTACCAGTGTTACCGGTGTTATACCATTCACACTGGAACAAAACAACCTTTTTATCACATATGTAGTCAAATTCCAACACCTTGCTCAAGTGACCGTAGAAGTCATGCAATTTTCCTTCATGATCCCCTTGTGTAAGCACACCACTATTCTGACTCGTACGACGGTTGTCTAGATCTCGAGTATGGAACCGGCTGCTATTGATTATGCAACTTGAGTACTCTTTCACAAGCAAATTAGGACCATTTGCTAATGACCACAATTCATCAGTTGCCTCTGATGACTCTTCCATTCTCAATCTATTTATCTACAATTACATGTAACAAACAATAAGTAAATAATTTATGAATGACGACATTTTATAAAACTTTAATTTTGTTTAAGTTGTAAATGTTGAAAAATTATAAATGTTTTACCCTCTCTTTGAACCACTTGGGAAATTCTTGTCGTTGTATGTGGGTTATGTCATGTCCAGCTTGAGTTTGTAATAGATTTTTGTGTTTCCTACTAAAAAAAAAGTGATTACTACGTAGTTCCAAAAATAAAAAAGGTAAGCATAAACATAATTCAATGAAACGCATACTCCAAATACTTTTCAATCTCTGGGCTATTGTGCAACACAAACCAATGAGCAATATCACGAATTTCTTGAGACATTTCAGCATCTCGTGTGATTAGACTAATTGGACGTGCAATTTCTGTGAATATTGTCAACCCTTGTTGACGTTCACCGCGATCTTCATTCTGTTCTGGTCGATTATGCACGGTTTCAATCCCAGCAACATACATTGAACAAAAAGTAATGCACTCTTTGATAATGTAGGGCTCGGCAATTGAACCTTCTGGTCGAGCTCGATTGGTCACATATTTTTTTAATGCTCCAAGAAACCTTCAAGAGAGAACGAATTAGGAGTATAATTACATATGCAACACACTTACGCAAATCTCATTTACAAGTATAAGTGTAAAAAATACCTTTCAATTGGGTACATCCATCGATATTGTATGGGTCCTCCAAAAATAGCCTCGTGAGGCAAATGAATAGCCAACTGGATCATCACATCAAAGAAGGCTGGAAGAAAGATCTTTTCAAGCTTGCATAAAATGTGTATTATACGTTCCTCTAATTTCTCCAGTTCACTCCGCCTTAGTGTCCTAGAGCATAGGTCTTGGAAGAAATTGCCTAACTCAAAAAGTGATGTGCTAATTTCTTTATCCACGTAACCATGCATTCCAATGGAAAGAATTCTTTGTATCAGTACATGGCTGTCGTGGCTTTTTAGGCCTGTTAGTCTATCGTTTCTTGCATTCACTGATTTGGATATGTTTGCCGCATATCCATCTAGATACTTGACAGTTTTTAAAAATTCAAAGAAACCCTCCCTCTCTGTAGGTGTCAACGAAAAGCTTGCCCGAGGCTTGACATATGACCCATTGGGTCGTTGTGTTAGCCATAGCTCTTTCCTTATACCTATATCTTCCAAGTCTAACTGTGCCTTGTCTGTGTCCTTGTTCTTTCCATCAATGCCTAACATTGTTCCAAAAACATTTTCACTAAAATTTTTCTCCACATGCATGACATCAATGTTGTGTCGAAGTTTTCGCTTCTTCCAATAGGGTAACTCATACAAAATGCCTACCTTTGTCCAATTAGGTGCTTGACGGGGCCTTTTTCTATTACTTGGATGCTTTCCATATATGACACCTGTCACGTTGTCCAACTGGTCTTGTATCTTTTTCACCGGCAACTCCAAAGATCTCTTCCATTTCTCAATCTTACCATTGTAAGCCCTACTCTTTCGCCTTTCTAGGTGGTCCTCAAGCAAGTAATATCGATGGTTAGTGTACCCCATCTTACTTCTCAAAGATTCAAAATACGATTCAAAATACGGTTCATCATTGCAAGTGTTCTCTACCTAGATATGTCACCAAATGCAGGCCAATCATGTATTGTCCACAACAAAGCTGTATGCATTCGAAAAGTCTCATTGGTGGAGGCGTCGTAAGCTAATGCACCATTTGTCCATAAATCATTCAACTCATCTACCAATGGTCGCATGTAGACGTCAATATCAATCCCTGGTTGAGATTCTCCGGGAATAAGTAATGACATCAAACAAAATGGATCCTTCATAACCAACCAAGGTGGCAAGTTGTATGGAATGAGTATGACGGGCCATAAACTATAAGAGTTGTTCATGTTCCCAAAAGGGTTAAACCCATCAATGGCCAACCCTAGCCTCAAATTTCGAGGCTCCAAGGCAAACTCGGGATGTTGTGCATCGAACTCCTTCCACTCATCACTGTCAGCAGGATGCCTCAATATCTCGTCGTCCATTCATTTGTCTTTGTACCATCTCATGTCCTCAGCCCTCTTCCTCGACATGTGCAATCTTTTCAACCTTGGTGTCAAAGGAAAGTACCGCAATACTTTATGAGGGATCTTCTTACCCCTTCCACGATTGATCTTGTATCTAGATGTCTTACAAGTCGGACATTTATCTAGTGTTGCATTCTCCTTCCAAAATAATACACAATCATTTATGCAAGCATGAATGAGCTCATATGACAATCCCAAGTCACGTAGTATTTTCTTAGCTTCATAAGTTGACTTTGGAACTAAATTTTCTTTCGGTAAAAGTCTACTTAAAAACTCCAGTATCATATCAACTAACTTATTGCTCCAATGATTTGTCACCTTCATATTAAGCACCTCAATCACAAACTTCAACAAAGTATAATTTCTACAATTTGGGAACAGCTTACGCTTGGCATCAGTCAACAATTGATCAAAAGTTCTCACTTTCTCTCCTTGGGTTGTATCAGTCGATTCCCCTCTTATTCAATCTTCTACTAAGGCTTCAATACCACCTACAATTTCATCACCATCAAGTCGCATCTCGTCATCATGGTAAGCCTCATTTGAAACACGGGATTCCCCGTGCTGGTGCCATATAGTGTAAGTTTAAATAATCCCATATTGGAGTAAATGAATTTCCACATTTTGAAGATTTTGTCTATAAACATTCACACTTAATACATGGGCACAAAATATTACCATTCTGGTCTAAAACCCCCATTGCAAATTGAAGAAATAACTTGATTCCATCATTATATGGTTTACTCATCCTTTCATCAACAGTCCTATCTAGGGCAACTAACTTTTATCCATGTCTGATCACAAAGGAAAGATTAGGAACAAAAAAGATCATTATTGATTTTAACACATCTTTACCAAAAAAGATCATTAAAAAATCAAGAAAAATCACCAAGTGTACAGTGTTCTATAATCTTCAAATTAAATTAAACAACTAATCAAACCGAATACTAACAAGAGAAAATATATATTAAAGAGCAGAGGCTGGTGTGAGGATAAATCGAAATACAAGATTAGTTGTTGTTTTATATTATTTTTTGAAACAATGATGTCAGATTTTCCTTAGGCATAGGCATGCCAAAGTTTTTCAAAGGTGTATTTCTTTGCACGGACAGAACACCATTAGATGCAAGCTTAACAGTTCACAATTTGATGAGGGGAAATGTTCTCTGTAAATGGTATTTAATGTGCAAGCATGGTGCAAAAGAAACTGTGAAGCACTATTTGTTGCATTTTAGAATGGCTAAACTGTAAAGCACCAGTTACGCCTGGCCTGTTAGCATTAGGCTCTTGGTGAATTTCTCTGCTTCTACTATGTTGAAATTAGAATGGCTTATATTTTTGCAGTGAACTTCAGTGAGATTATGGACAAGGGAGATAAAATGTTTTTCCACACTAAACTCTATTTACCCAAGATACCTTTCATACTAGTTGCATGATATTTTCACAAGTAGACTCTTTAATTACACAGATGGAGAAATGTCTAGAATTAGTTCATAACACCACTCTATTAGATTTGCTTTCCTACCATACCACCTTAAAGTTTTACATCGTGGACTTTTGGCAAGAAGTGGAGGAAAAGAGTAAAACTTCACTCTGTTATTACATGCTTAAGTCGACTTCATAAGAGGAGTACATACGTATTACATCATCTGAACAACATTCACTCTTCACAACATCACTCTTCAACTACAAGATTAAATATATTTCTAAAGACTACCCAATGACACAAACCCAAGACTAATATATTTCTAGACTACCCTATTGACACTATATATATATAACTTTAACGAAAGAGGAACATGTTAGACACAGAAAACAGAGGAACATGTTATATATATATAAAATATTAGACACAGAAAGCAGAGGTTGCGGAAGTTATACATATATACTAGAATATAGTGGAAAAGCTAAACAGTTGTCTGGTCCTGTATGGCATTGGTAACTGTACAAACCTTAAACTGATAGAGAGAGAGAGAGAGAGGGGTGGAAGTAGAAGGCAATTCCATTGTTGTTGGAGATATTTAAAGAGAAAGATCAAACAAAACAAATACTAGTATTGTAGAGAAAAATGGTTCATCATCTAGTGGCTCTACGATCATCAATGGTTCTTCTTCAATCACATTCTTCCCCTATCCACTTCCCCAGGTACACCCCTATATTACTATTTTTCTTGCATTTTCCTTCCTCTGTTTGGTTTCAAAGAAAAAAAACACACCCCCTAAAAAAGGAGGAGAAATTGAATTACTGAATCTTTATATCTTAATTTCCTAAGCGAAAAATAGCTCTAGTGGAAGGAATTACAGAGTAGATTGGGATGATTTTGGTGTTTGGGGTCCCCCTGATATTTGGATAAACCTAAACCTACAAAAGTTTCAGTTTTTAACAATATATCCAAGAAAAAAAAAATCTGAAAATAAAATGTGTGGATGAGATTTATTCAATGTGATCACACCACTCCAAGTTTGAATTTACACTTTACCATTTCATTTTCAGGCTACAATTTTCCCAGTATGCAAATAGAAAATATTTTTTTTGTCTTAGGTGTATGCAACAAGTTTTGTGTTCTATTGGCAAATCTTGAAAAAAAAAAATTTGAATTAAGTTTAATCATCAACAAAACTGTACAGGTATTTCTAGCTCTTGTTGTATCTCTTTTTACGGCATTTTTTTTTCTTTCTCATTACAGATTATATACATATATAGATATTATATATATAGAGAGCATATATATCAGAGAAAGAAAATATTAGACACAGAGTGTAACAACCCCAACTTCTAATTAACGTTAATCCATGATTAATTATGCCTAATTAGCAATTGAGGTGAATTTTGCATTAAACTGCATGTGTGTGATGTATTGTTTGTGTCTATATCTGTTAGGCATAGAAAGATCTATTCACGTTTTAGTTTCGGTTTGCGAATTGAAAGTCTTATCGGCGTCCAAATCAGAAATTGACTTGATTTATGTGCTAGTTAGGATTTATAGAATTTTATGGTAGGTTTAATTAAAATTCAATTCGGAACGATTAAAATAGAATAAATGAGGTTAAATTACATTAGTTTGAGTTTATTTCATTCTTGCCATTAGTGGGCCACTTTCAAAAGTTTTGTTTGAGGCTTAATTCATACACTTTGATTCCCCACTCTTCTCCATCCACAAGACCAAACCGAGAGAGAGAGGGAGAGTAGGAGAAAAGTTTTGATTCAACAAG